ATTCAAAGTAAAATTAATAATAGAAAATAGTTTAAAAACCTAGGCTCCGGACTTCAACGGTTCCCGTTTCCTAGTATATAGCTACGATTATCGATTAGAAAAGTAATAAAGCTCGATAATTTTTATGAGTAATTCAACCAATAAAATTACTTTATATGCAAATGACCTGGTCATTATTTGATGATTTGGGTCGCTTAATTTTGATCAAATGGCCAGGCCATTTACCAACCCTAATTTTAATAGCAATCGGGTTTACTATTAAATTCGATTTTATTTATTACTATGAAAAAATATATATACTGCAATCATTTTCAGTTTACAGTCCATCCAATTCAGATTTTTGAATTTCCATGAGTGTTTAAAAATTACAACAAACAGTAGGACGAAATGTTTTTAATATTAAGATCAGTAGAAATATGATCCCAAAAATAATTATTACGTTCATTTTAATGAGCATTGACCTTTAATTATCGTGCAAGATATTTCACTTTTTTTTTTAATGTAAATCTAAATATATATTACATAATTTAATTTTTTATACATGCTACTGTATCCTAAACGTGACAGTGCATTTATTCCCCGGTTCTTATTTATACTTCCATTCCATACTATCTTTTCACAGATTTCAGATTCGGGTTGATCCGGAGTTTTTATATTTCTTTTTGATTTTATATCTTTTTTTTTATTTTTTTTAATGAAATACGAAATTTTAAACTATTGACGTTAACGTTACTAACGAAAAGTAAAAGTTGTTGGTTAAAAAAAAGGAAAAAAGAAGTGGAAGAAAACGAAAGAAGGTTTATAATTGTAGAAAGCTAAACTTTATGAAATGCGCAACTCTAATTTGAAAAGATAGTATGGAAGTATAGAAAGAACCTGGGAATAAATCAGTTATTATCCACGAAGTAGACATAACTAAAAATCATACCCGGATCTGAAGATCGAATAATAACGGAATGGCCACTGGCTGCGAAGCAGCCAGTGGCCATCATAAATTGTCGTATTTTTTTTTTTGAAATAAACACAAAACACGAAAAAAAAGTATATTTCGTTATTTTTTTTATATTTTACTGTTCACTCTTTATCCTTTTCTTTAATATATATACAACATATTTTTTTAGATAGTTTTTATTTTTTTGAAAAATACTATATTAGATCGCTCAATGTATACAACGTAGATTCCAGGCTTCATCGTTTTTGGTGTTTTAGAAATAAAGTAAGTATTTTTATTTCGAAGTTGTAAATCCGTCAGGCACCTTTTTATCGTTAGAAACCAACTGGACGGATAACATGGACGGAACAATCCTGCCTGTGTGGATGTGAACATTTTCATAAGAAACCACGACCGTCAAGGTAGTGTTATTTCTGAAAATGTTTCTAAGCGAAGGGGTGGCTAGGGGTAATTTTACACTTAGTCGAGGTTTTGGGGGCCACCAGGTAGGACTCCGGAGGAAGTGGTTATCAAGAAGGTTGGTCCTAACACATAATCGGTGTTTGATGTGTTTCTGAAATGAGAGCTACTATTTCTGCAAAAAGGAGAGATAGTTACGTTTTCTTATTTCGTAAAGGAAACTTTGTATACTAAAAATTAAAAATATTTACTTAATAATTATTATTAACAATTTTTTTATTATTAATTATATAGTGTCGAAAGTCTTTGAAGTATGATTATTTTTTTAAAAAGTTTTTTTTTTTTTAATAAAAATAGTTATTTTCATTTAATAAAAAAATGTAAAGTGTAAAAAAATAAAACAATAAAAAATTAATTAAAATTGTATTATGGTGTATAAGTATTCGATCTTGTTAATAAGTCAAATTGGTATGTCATATTAAATTGCATTGTCGAATGAGTATTCCTTGAGGGGGCTATAATTACCTAATATTTTTCAGCTCCCTTATTATATTACAAAATTATAAAAATTATTTTATACAATAACATTCTCAATTGAGATAGTGCTTGGGAACCTCGGAAATCTCGACGTTTAGAAGGTAATTCGATCGGTTTTCTCTGGTCAACAGAAAAAAATCATTGCGGTATAATTTAAATGCCATAATTTTTTTTTTAATATTATTACAATCTATTCATCATTTTATAGTGTTGAGTTTTCTTATTTTTTTACCACTTAAATGTTAACTACGAACTATGTTTAAACCTATTCTTCCAGATTCGAAGTTGTTAATTAATAGTTGTAAAAACTTTTAACAAAGAAAATTCATAAAAAAAAAAAAAAGTAATCGTTTTTATGATCATAATAATTTGAAAGATTGAAGTGAATTATTCACCATAGCAATTAATATGATTGATATATTAAGCAAATTTTACTTTTTTTTGATTATACAATACATCGGAATGTCTTAAATAGACAAATAATTCTCGTTAAGAAATTAAAATAAGACCAAATGTCCGTTTTGTTTATAAAAAAACAAAAATAAACTAATAATAATAATTAACTACAATATCCGCCACAACAAAATTATTCTCTATATAATTCTTAAACGAATATTCATTGGTAAAGATTCGTAAAGAGAAAATATTTGAATATAAAATTGTTATTAATTGATTAAGTGTCTTTTGGAGTTTTTGGAGTTTTTGTTCGTCTTGTAGGTTTTGTTCCATCACCTTCATTACCCTCATCTTTATCTTTTGAAGTGCTTGCATCGCCTTTATCGGCATCTTTATCATCAGGAGTTATGGCGTCATTCTTTTTGTGTGGTGCAGAAGCCTTTTAAAATAAGAAGGAAAATCAGTTCAAATTCACCATATACATACTATTTATCATCAAATATTCTTATAATTACCTTCTTTGGTGGTGACAATAAATTAACCAATACTCCGAGAAGTAAAACTAATATGATGACTAATACTGCCAAACCAGCCGCAACTTCGGGTTTTTCTTTGAGAGCTTCCCAAGGATCTTCGAGGAAAATTTCAAGGAATTCGTTGACATGTTTTTGTATGGTGTCGATTAATGTATGAGGAGTCTAACCAAATAACACGATTTAATAAATTTTTAAATACAATAAATAATATCAATGTTGAATATATAAACTTGTAGTCAATAATATATACCTCAATATCGTCCTGAGGATATTCTTTAGCTTCTTCTGCCTTTTCAATTTTATATTTTACGCCCCATGTCTCCTCAGCAAGTTCTCGTGCGTCCTCTTCAGAGTGGCCAATATAAATGTTGTCAAACAAAATATTGCCTTGCATAGTCCAGAGTTCAAATCCAACAGCACCCTAATTAAGATTTTTTTAGTGACAAAATATAAAATTATGAACATACAATATGATGTCAAGTAATTAAACTTACGATTTTTTCAAATTTAGAAGGAGTCAAGTCTTCGAAGAAGTCAGGATTTGGAATTTTACGAGGTGCCCATGGACCCTTATATTTTGGATTATCAATCTGTGGAGCATACCATTTTCCTTTATAGTTAGGATTATTCTTGTTTGGACGTTTCCATTCACCACAACCAGGTGCTTCCTCACATTTTGGATTAGATATAGTTGGAGGGATCCAATCACCATCCTCTTCATCATCCCAGTCATCAGGTTTTTTGGCTTCTGGATCTGGAATGTTCAAAGGTTCATTATCAAGCCATCCTTCTGGTTTTTTGGCATCCTCATCAGGAATTTCGTATGGTGCATCCTCATCCCTAAAATTCAATAATTTGTTAATCCAACTGACTATCTAGAAGCATTATTATAATTCTTCAAAAATATTTACCAATCATCTGGCTTCTTGGCATCTTTTATTTGGAATATATATTAATTATATGATAAATAATTTATTATATATTGTACTATACAAAATTATAATGCATAATACATACCAGGATCGGGTATTTTTGGATCATCAACCCAGTCAGCAGGTTTCTTGTCTATATATTTTAAATTTTTAATTAATAATGAATCAAAAAGAAAATCAAAAAAAGAATTTAATAAATTTTTATAAATTAATCAAAACACGTACCATTAGGGTCATCAATTTCTTTTGGTGGATTTACAGCAGGTGTAAAATCATTCAAGAGATCTCCAGTCTTAACTGATTCATTATTAACGCGAATTTCGAACGTGTTATTAGGTCTATAAATTATGCAAGTTATGTTTTTAATAAATAATAATTTCAAATTAGAATAACATCCTTATGGTACACTTACCTCACGACAAGACCATATAAAGTACTGAGTTTGCTAATTGTTGCTGATGGTGCACTCTTCAAATGTTTTTCTTCATATACACCAGTTTTAGGATTTTTGTGCCGAAAGATAAAGTGAATTTTATTCGTACTACCACATTTATCAGGTCCAAACATAATCGTATAAGGTGTTTTATCTGAGAATTCTACTGCTTGAATCCCTTTGTCAGATTCGGTCAAAAGTTTTAAATAAGCACCACCACATTCGAGTCCATCTTGAAATTTAACTTCATATCTAAAATATTCAAAATTCAAAATAAATATTGATTTATTAATTATGAATTATATGAATTATAATTATAAAAAAAAATTATACTAACTGAATGACTAGCGTTTTATCTTTGTTATCCAATGGTTTTCCTAAAGGTGCAGATATAGCGTGATGGGCAGCCGGACTTTTCATGACTAGACCGTGATCATTCTTTATACCAGCAAAGACGCGAGGTTCTTCGACTTCCCATTTTCCAACGTAACTAAAGGTTTCACCTCCTTCTTTGGTTTCTTTTGTTGCACTACTGGGTGACCATCGGCTTGACCAGTCACTTGTGAATTGTTCCAAGAAATGTGCCTTAATTTTTGTTGGCTACGAAGTTAAAGAATATTAAAAAAAAAATTGATTAAAATTCAATTATTAATTATATCATATATAAATAGAGATACACTTTTTCTAAAGATAATTTTAAAAAAAATAAATAAATAGATAAAAGGAAAAAGGATAATAATGCATTTAACAAACATTGCTTTATGTGTATATGGTTCGAGGGGATCAACCGCAATTATTAAGCTAATTGCTATAGCTAATACAAAGGAGGAAAGGGATATAAACACCAGCCAAAATCGCCTATGACGCAATTTTATTCTACCTTAAATTCTGGTTTTTCGTCTATGTTTTCGTTAGTAGACGCCTCTGAAGGATCTGCATATGTATTGACTACGAATGCCGAAGCGAAGAATAAAGCGAGAATATGGAGATTATACTTCATCGTTTATGGATAACTGGCTAACAAGGCAGTTTAACCAAATACGATTTATTCGAGTTGTTTCTAGTATTCTTTTGATGGGAGGAGGAATGAATTTTTGACTCGCTTTTTTTTCAAGTTTAAATATTTGAGCCATCGATCTGTGATTGATATGTGGAATTTGTTGATTCGCTGATTTTAATGTGGTTATGCGTGTACATTTTTTATTGGCTTAATGATTTTAAGTTAAATCAAATCTACGATTGTTACTCTTTACATATAAAGGTCATATAGAAATTAATTATTTCCCATTCCCGTATTTATTACATTGCATTGATTAACTATTTTTAGGCTATTACAAACGCGACAATATTTCTCAATATGTAGATCTCAAAGTGTGTATCCGCCGAGAACGTCAGACTGTGCCATAGCCAGTAATAATGGATCATCGAAAAACTAATTAAAAATGATAATTAAAAATAATGTATAATAATATAATGATAATCTGTGATAATATCGAATTATTCACATACCTTGTTTACGGAAACATCTTCGGACAATCCCTTACGTCTTCGAGTTTTCACCATAAAGTCTCTAGCTAAATGTTGCGCCGGACTAGGTTCCAAAGGTCGAAGAATGATACTTTTATCCAACGGATCACCAGGAACAATCTAGAGTGATTAAATAAAGATATCACACGTTAGTAAAATATACATATAATAATAAGATATAAAAATAATTCTAAATCACCTGCCAATGATCAAACATTTGTTGACAAAATGCCTGTCCTTGTGTATGAGTTCTTAAGTCTGTTTCAAATCCATTTGCCTCAATTACAGGAATATAAGCTTTGACAGTATATAGTGGAGAGCCTGCTTTTGGAATATCCTGTGTAACATGTCCTCTAATAAAACAATGAAAATGTTAAAATTTAGAAATGAATAAAGGAAATGAATTAATAGATTAAATAAAGGAAATGAATTAATAGATTACAATACCTCCTTCTGGCTAAGACTGTGTACACAGCCGAAACACAATCAGCAGGCGCTTGAATTTCAACATAATATACAGGTTCCATCAACCTTGGCGTTGCCTATTTATTTTGTTTAATGTTTTTTTTTGATGTTTATACAAAAATTCGTATATACCGGTTTTTATATATTATAAAAAATTATTATTATGTATCAAGAAAAACCGGTCAATATACCGGTAAATTCCAAACTTTATTTCAAACCTTAATAAATGTCGGGGATGATGCTGAAATTTTGACTTACTTTATTATGAAAATTTAAAATTTTTTGAGGTTTTGTTCAGCTTTTTTTTTTTATAGGTTTAGGGTTAGTGTTTATAACAAAAGAGTATAGGTGGATTTTAATAGGGTTTATATTTTCAAATTAAGTCCCTAAATTTCAGCATCATCCCCGACAATAAATAAGTATATAAATATATAAGACATTACCGTAAGAAATGCAGAATAACAAACGCGTCTTGCTGTGGGAATTACTTGACCACCTCCACGGAATAAAGGTTCAGGTGCTATAACGGCATCTAATATCCTAAATTTGACATTACGTATAGCTTAAAACAAAGCGATTAAATGTCATGTTAATTGACTTTATAATAATTATGTCATTTATCAAGGATACTTACGTTCATCACACAAAGGTCCTTCTCGAGTACCCCATTGAAAGCCTTGTCGTATTGAATCTCGAACAAGTTTCATAAGATCTTTGTTTACCTGAATAAAAAATAAAATAAATAAAAATAAATAAGAGAATATAATTAGGTAATGATTTCATTGAAGCTTTAATAATCATTTTACCTCAGCGGGCAAGGTATCATCTATCAAAATATTTGGACCATTATCGTCAGGTCCGAATGCCCAGATTGAACGAGATGCCAACACATCCCAAGAATACTTTTCTTCAAAGAATTTTGCAACATCTTTAACCGCCCACTTTAAGCTTACTCTACCAGCTTCAATGTCCTCGGCGACACCTTTTTCTAATGGCTCAGATATCATGGTCAGTTTATTTCTATTAAATAGAATATGGTTAATTAAAATAGATTGTAAAAAAAGATTATATCACGTGTACGCACTTTTTATTTGGGGTTTCAGCAAAACACTTTAAAGCCGATGTTTCTACAACAGTTTCACAGAATCGTACCACAGGATCCGAAACCTTAAGTTCTATTTCAGCATACATTCTTCGAAGATCATGTAAAACACAGTCCAAATATAATTCACCCGTCCCGAGAATAATATGTTCACCAGATTCTTCGACCTGTAAACCAAAAACAAGATAAGAAAATGCTAAACGAAATATTATAACAAATTATACAAAAAAATCAAGAATTAATTACTTTTGTTATTAATATAGGATAACTTTTATTAATTTTTCGTAAACCATCCAACATTTTAGGCAATTCAGAAGGATTGACTGGTTCAACAGCTACTTTAAGCACAGCAGTTGTAACAAATGACAAAGGTCTAAAGATATATTTGTGCCCTTCTTCTTCAGAGTTTTCAGTAATGGTCGCAGTTTTCACGATGGAATTATCAACACCACCTAAGAGCACCCAATTTCCAGCGGGTACACCATCCACACCAATTCTATATCTATAGAAAAAATCATTAAATACTATGTCGTTTATTTGAAAATATATATTTAATACTGTATATAAAGAGTGAAATAAAATATAAAAACTTACCTAGATTCAAAAATCCAAACATCCAAAACTTCTTGTACAGTCATATCCTCTTCGTCATCAATTGAATATCCTTCTCCTAGAACTCTTACAGTCTGACCTTTTCTAACCGATCCGCTCATAATTCGACCAAACGCGTCAAAAGTTGACGCGTCAGATGAATTATATAACTTTGTCACATAAATCATTAAGGGACCATCCGAATCGCATTTACGCATTGCTTCTGCAACTTCTGTATCCATCGGTCCAGTATATGTGTGTTTTATCTAGTGAAAAAAAAAGTTGTGCTGCATCAACATCAATACGAAACGAAAAGAAGAAACATAACTATATATATATTACCAACCTTTTTAATGGCATTTTTTTCCGGCGATGGAATATGTTGAACAACCATGTCGACAAATCCAGTTGCTTGACCAAAGAATTGGTCCAATACTATCCGCAATAATGGTTTAACATCTAGTTGAAAGTGAGAAGCCTTCAGATAGATACCCAGAGAAGCTAAGGTTTTTTTTAAAGTCGCTTCATCTTCTCCTATTACCTAAAGAATACAAGAGATAGTGCGCCTTTTATATAAAAAACATAGTATAATAACTTTTGTGTGATCAAATTACCGACAATTACCTGAGAATAAATTTTGTATAATGGCTCCAGAATGAAATACACGAATGAACGTTGACTCTTAGTTTCCATGCCTTTTCTACTAAAAGTCCTCTTTGTGGGATTATAATGAATATCACCCCACAAACGTTTTGCAAAATCATCGGCGTTTATATCACCTGTTTAAAAAGAATTTTTTTACATAATGTTAAAGTATTGTATTTTATCAAGTATAATAATAATATAATAAATATAATTAAACCCAAAATATACCAACCGTACGTGTCTGCATATATTTTTGCAAACGATTTTAAGGAAAAACACCAACCCATCTGACTGGACGCGAAACAAACATTTCCGCGTTCAGGAGACACGCGAAGATCGCGACCTTGTGCGTGTTGACTAAAAGTAATTCAAAAATGGATATTTAAATCTTTTAATATTTATTGAAATTGGTTTGTTTTAAAACCAGGAAAATCCAAACAAACCTGATGATAGAATTTACTTCTTCAATGGTATGTTTTAACTTATAATAAGCATCATTTGGTGGTAATTTCAGTTCCAAAATCAATCTATCTACTTTATTTACTACCAATGTGAACGCCAAATTTTCTTGTATAACGTGTCGTATAACGCGTTCACTATTAGCCATGACCTATAATAAGTAATTTTAGAATATGAAATCCTATAATGTTAAACTTGATGGAACACATATTTACTCCTTCTATCGCGTCTACTACAATCACTGCACCATCAGAAAGTCGAAGTGCAGCAGTAACCTCATCCACAAAATCAACGTGACCTATTTATAATTAAATAAAATTTATGCAATATGGATATATAATTAATGATGAAAATTAATGATGAAAGTTAATAATGATTTACATATTTACCCGGCGTGTCCATAATATTGAACAAGTAAGATTTAGATTTTGTGTCTTGCAAGACAAGGGTCATTGGCATACTCTTGATACTAACACCTCTATCTCTTTCTAACGTATGAGTATCTGTGTAACGTTCCTACATATACACATTATATATACATTAACAAATTGTGTAATAATATAAATGAATATAATGATATAAAAATCAATGACAAATTGTTAAATGACAATTGATCAAAATACCTGCTTATCCACATCCCATGCAACCGAAGAATGGGTCTCATTAACCAACATATCAACAAAAGAAGTTTTACCATGATGTAAATGACCGACAATAGCAACATTTCTTATCAATTCGGGAAAATTCATCATATCCACCAAAAATCTAATAAATCAAAACAAAAATATATAAATTTAATTAATATCAATATAATAAATCATAATAAATCCTAATAAAAATCATAATAATAAATACTATAAAAAATACAATACTCTTTTTTAAATCTTGTTTCTGGAAGATTTTTTTCTACTAGTTGAAACTTTTTTATTTTTATTGGTTGAATTATAGGTTCTGATAAAGGTTGAGTATCTTCTTCCTGAACCAAAGTTTCCACCTCAGGACCATAAACTTCTTCAGCACTCGGATAATATTTTTTATCTTCATGAAGAATAACTTGAGTCTGAGGAACATCTGAAAGAGGTTAAGCCTCAGCTGTCAGTCGCATAAATAAATAAAAAAAAAAAGAAAGAAAAAGCGATAATGAAAAGGCGTGTAAGGTTAAACTCGCGTCTCAAAAGTAAAAAAGTGATAGTGAAAACAAAAGTCAAAAGAGAAACTTTTAACTTTTGCATATAATCGGAGAGAGCGAGAATAAAGACAGAAAAAAAAAGAACATCACATACCGTCTACTTCCATAAGCGCCATACTTGGGCCACCAACGTCTTCTTCCCCTTCTTCATATAGATCTTCAACTTCTTGCATAGGTTGAGGAGCCATTTCTTCCTCATCGGAGTCAGGTAACTCAGGTCCAAGGTAGTTACCAAATTCATCGTAAAGTGAATCGTCCATGTTCTTGTAAGTAACAACTTTTAACTATGCGATCGTAGCGGTAGTTACAGTATTATATGTGTTATATATAAAAGATAAAAAATTTTTATTAATATATCTTCACCGCCAAAATTTTACAGACACGTGATTGATTTTTTTGTGGCGTACGATAAAATTTTTCTTAATCGTTTAACCATTTAACCGCCTAATTTGGCAGGCATTAAGATAATTCCGGCCTACGACCAACATAATTCTGCCCGGAATTATGGACAATTTTTAAACGGTTAATAGGTAAATAAATCTAACTGGGGTAAAATCACCACCTTAAAAAATTTCACAGCCAATCAAATTTCAAGATCTGGTGTAACGTAGCACGATCAGGAAAATTCAAAACAAACGTTCGATTTGTCAAAAATCGCAAATAACTCAAAATTTAGTTTATGAAAGAGCCTTTTGCGCATTAGGCCAGACCAATTTAATTCTTCGTTTAAAATAACCCCCTCCCCCCCTATTTTTTAAATTTTATATGAACCCAATACTCATTAATAGTAATTAATAGTATTTACCCCCCCTCAATTTTTTAAATTTTATATAACTAACATGTTAAATCACTAATAAAATTGCTGTTTTTTTTAATTTGTGTATTTTTTACACCCTTCCCCCACTTTTATGAACTATTTAATGTTATGTTAAATGAAGAATCAATTTGGAGTGGCCTTAGTAAAAATTTTCTTTGCAAAATTTTGATATATATAACACCTCCTAACTCCAACCTAATAGCAAGCTCTAACCCTAATCAAACAAAATAAAATTTTATTTCAAAATAATTTTAAATAATTTTGAAATTTTTTTGGGTGGTAATTTTACTCTTGTAGATAAATCTTCACTCTAATTAATTTTGCTGGCCAATTAGATTTCAAGATTTGGTGTAATGAAAAGAAGTGCAAAAAAACAAAAAAATGCTCGTAGCTCAAAATTTTGTCCATAAAAATGCCTTTTGCATACTAACAAAAAAAAATTTCTTGTGAAATTTTACTATAATTATAATCTTTTAAACTAAACATTAACCTACTGATGGGACTCTAACTTTAAACTAATTATGAAATAGTTTTTTTTAATAAGATTATATAGTTATTGAAATTTTTTAGATAGTGATACTAGATCAAGAACAGTGATTTTCTGTGGTAGTTAAGACTAAATTTTGTATGTGGTTAAGACAAATTCTGTGATTTAATGTGATAAGCCTTTTTACCAATTTCTGTGCAATTTTGTGGTGCTATTTTATTCTTTCTGTGGTTTAATGTAATTATAAATAAAAATTTGGGTATCAGAATTTTCCTAAATTATATAGTTCTGTAACTTACTAAAAAACATGTTTGTAATTTACTTTAATTTAGTGTCTATCTTTCTGGGAGTTCCCAATGCTCAGCCTGAATTTATTGCTCAACCCTTACAATATTTTATAATTCTGTGATATTTTGCGTATTTTGTAGAATTCTGTAACATTTTGTGATAACTAAGGATGATTTTTGTAGTTGGCTGTGATTAGAATAAATTTTGTGATTTTTGTAAAACACAGAAAATCACTATCTCTGTGCTAGACTTATAGACTAAGTACCCTGTAGTGATTTACTTATTTGTGTTAGTAATACAAACCAAAAAAAGGAAAAATCAAAAAATATTCTTTTTTATTAGCATAAATAACATATAAAAGTCATGTATTAGAGTTAATAGTAAAGTGTAATCTATTATTAATATATTAAAAAAATTGGATTTCTGCAAGGTAGACGGACATTGCATATTCGTGTTACATAGCTGCATATTTT